TGAACTCAAAGGCACATTGGTTTTTAGGTCACAAATACAGAACAAACTCACACAAAAATCCTGTCCACATTAGTGATTGTAAAACAAGGCAGGAATGTGTGGCACGTTACATAAAAACAATGTGGCCTGTGGGGAATTCATTTACAGAGAATGCATCTGTTGGGCATCGGCTGGCTCCACAATAGCAGAAACCATTAGCTTGCTAATTGCATGCAGAGTTTTCCTTCCTTCATTTCCCTGATACTGAAAGCTGCTTGCTCATAAACTTAGCTCAGGCATGACTGACTACTTCTGTATGAATTTGCTTTGATCAGAAATGCTTTTGGACATATTTATATCCAGTGCTGGAACATGTCTTTCTTTTGCCCCTCTTGAAGTGCTGTAATGTTAGGTACACTAAGAGGAGGTTATTGGAGGTTTCTAGGAAGAATGTCGCTGAAAGAGTAAACTGTTTTTTAAGATAGGCATTTGTTTGTTCAGAAATCTAAACAGTATGATTCACTGATCCACGTGCACTCATGGTCTTTTAGAGGTGTTCACTCTTGCAATTCAGTTACACCCTCAAAATTTGCATGCTGCAAACCGCCTCCGCTTTACTTTGCAATATGCCATATAGCATCACTATACGTATCTCTGTAATGCCTAGCATGACAATTGAGGGCAGTTGAAAAGCATGAGTGCAGACAAAAAAGCAGTTGATCAGACCTAGTTTATGGTAGTACAAACAGTTATGTTTTGTCAGCAGCAGATCAAGGTACAATATTGGTGCCATTTCAACCCTACCAGATTGAACAATGAATTGTACAACTGAATGAGCGAGAACTTGCCAAATGATGCCCATTTTGAAGTCGTTTCCTGTCGGTCATTGTGATTTGAATGCTCAGTGTGACACACTGATGGTGGTGTGTATGAGACCATCTAGTGAACCCGGGACACCCACTAGCTGGGTTTCTAAGAATAGCCACGGTGTTCCAGGGCAGGAAAGCCCGCGACGCGTGACCCCGGCAGGGTGGACGGACGCTGCGCTGCCTTTGGGAGCTCAATCGTGGGCCGCTGCTATTCCTGTCTCGGCCTGGCCCGATCTGCATGCTTTCAGATGGAAATCTAGACAGTGGGCACTTCTCTCACTGGATTCCCCACCCTTGACCATGCCTTGTTCAGTGCGGACCTGCTGCGTGAATGGCCCTCATTCATGCGGGCCAGGTTTAACAGCCTCGCTGTCACACACTCTGAGAAAGATAGAGCAAGAGATAAAGAACTGAAGGTGTTTTGTGGGCCACCCTGACACCCTGCTGAGACACAGTTGTCAAAGGGCAGAAGTTTTTTGCAGGTTTGATGATTTTTGTCCTTTGTACTGAGCTCTACATCCTCAAATTACTTTATCTTCAGACTGGAATTTGATGGCATATGCAACTCTGAATCTAAACAGAAAGAAAGCAAAAAAAAAAAAAGGAAACGCATGTGGGGTAAGATATGCTAATTTGACATACAGACACAAATACACCAAGCACAAAAAAGCATTCAGAAGCTCAAATACCATCCAGACTATTGAGGGACTCAAATGAGCTATTTGGCTTTTATTACACACCCACTCGCTGTCTCTCACGCACTTAAGACAGACCCCTCACACACACAAATGCAGACACACACTCATTCTTTGAAGTGTGTCTAATTTTAGAATGGACCATTAACACTATCATCAGTGTGTGATCTATAAGGCTGAAGATCGGCCCTGGCTAGATGTGTGCATGTCATTAAATCATTGAACATACTATGGAAAACCCTGAATGGACTGTATGTGCGGGACCTGTGGTCATGCCAACGGTGATGTCTTCCCTTCGGGGACTCCATTCATGTTGTTTTGGATGCTCTCACATTACAGGTAAGTGAATCATCCGAATCCTTCCCACCACACTCAACTCCATGAGACCACCAGGGCCTCATGAACATAATCACAATTTCACAGCCCCATGACTAATGCACAGAGCTCAGACAGGCGGGCTTGCACTCATCCACACCGCCCAATGCACACCTGCACTGTTTCCGTATGATATGAAGGTATTCCATGTGGGACTGTATGGCTCAGTCCCAAGATTTTTTGGGCCTAATGCAGTTCAGTAGACATAATTATCATGGCTTCGTATCTACTGCTATTACCAATGTTTAGTTACTCTCTATGGAAATTAATACAATCTTCGTTTCATTCATTGAACTTTGCATGCCGATGTAATGATTAATTTGCTTCATTAAAGAAGAAGAGAAAAAGAAAAAGAGGTTGCCAAATAAGTTTAAGTATTTAAGGGCACATTATATTTTATATGGCTAACTCTTGAAATTAAAAGAACTAAAAACAAATTCCGAAATATTGTGATGAACATTGAACTAAATTTTTGCCTTCAACAAAGAAGACACAGAGGTTAAAATTAATTGATGAATCGTTTATTTGATCAAATGAATTGTATATTTGATCAGCGAACCATTTATTTACTGACCGATTCACTAAAATGAATTGGATTTCCAATGGAATATGAGTGTAGGCAGAGCGTGTTTGATTAAGTTTGTTATACTGTTTGATGACTGTGATTGGCCAATGATAATGTCAGCATTCGAGTTCACAGAACTCACAGTCTTCCAGCTCTTTCGGTGGCAACAGCAGGCAGATTAGATCTGTTGATGTAAAGCTTTTCTTTGAAAATGGCTCACTATCCTTTCACCTCAGGTGTCCTTGCAGATTTTGCTAAGTGAGCATGCAACATAATGCATGGACCACACAGATACTTTAAACATTAGCAGAAAGATAAACTTTCCTGATTTGATTTTCATAGCATCCTCTGAACCCTCTGTATTTTAATACACAACTTGTAAGAGCTTTGTATTTGTCGTAATTTGGCTTTTTGTAATTTTATCTAAACATACAACAATTTCAAATCACCATGCTGCTTTTTCTTGTTCAGAAAGCAATTTGCATTTGTCACTAATGTAAAAACCTCACTGCAATTTGTATGCTATATTTGGTCCAAACACAACATGCTTCCTTTACGAAGAAAAAAGTAACATTTGCTTTTTACCAGGGTCTTCCGGAGTCTTTCTAGCCAGTTCTGGCCGTGTATCACCTAATGTGAAAATGGGCCTCTTCTGCACCGAATGAAGCCACTGATGTCCAGCTGGTAGAATGGCCTCTCTAATGCGCAATTAAACACTGTAAATGGAGACTGCAGCATCTCGCTCTAATCGAATCACACTAGAGCACTGTATTGTTCTTCTACATTTAGACGCTCCGCATAATGTATCACCGCAAATGCTTCCCTGTTTGAGTCAAGCGGGGTTACAGATCGGGAAAAGGAGGTTAGGAGGGACAGCTGTTGTGCATTCCTGGCTGGGTTTTGTCGTGATGTGGATCGACAACAGCGAGCGCAAACCCATACGGCGCCCAGGGCTGGCAGTTTCATAACCGTGCGGAGATGCCAGAACATCTGGGTGTCAGTAGAAAAGCAGTCACAGGCGACGAAAAAAGACACAATGTGTTGGCTTTCCACAGTCTGTACTGTGCATTTAGCTCCCAGACAAATTCATAGTGCTTGAGTCACAGTTGGCCATTTTTTGACGGCCACCAGTAATAGAATAACCACCCCTCACCTTGTGTTTTTGATCACATTACTGTCCTTTCAGTGAATTCTTCACCCAGCTTTGTGACAATCTTCAAATCCTCAAGGTTTTTTTTTCCTAGACCCTCTTTTCTCTCGAACTGCCACCCGGGCAGTCCTATTTGGATCAGTGGAAGTCATTGGGCACTGTTTAACTCGTCAAAGCCCTCTCTGTGTCCTGCTGGGTGCCCACGAGCAGAGAGGGCGAGCTTTCCAACACTGAGCTGTCTGTTTGACGCCCCGCAGCCTGCTGTGACATCATCACCCCTCTTCCACGACTTCTGACCCCTAACTATTGACCCCCGCCAACAGAGGCCCCTCTGTCTGTGGCTGGAGACAGAGATGGGCAGAATGGATTGTGGGAAGGTGTTCATCGATGTAGAACCTGACCTGTGACACACACTCAGTGTGTTTGCAGACTGTCCTTGGCTCTGAGCAGCAGTCTAGGAGGTCAGGTTGGAGGTAGTTGGTGTGTGTAGGCTTGCAGGACAACTACATTTGATTGTGAGACTATGGCTGCTGGTTTTCTTGCTGTACATGATGATATAGTTCTTGACATCAATTGACTTACTTCTGGAAAGTAATTTTGTGGAAATGAAACTCTGGGATCTGGGATTTTATTTAATTTTAGTGTGTATATATATATATATATATATATATATATATACTTTTTTGACTTGGAATGTAGTATATTTTTTGTTGTAATTTTATTTTATTAGTTTTTGTAAAATGAGGTATATTTTGTGACATGCAATATGTGTTTTAATTAATTTGGCTTGAGTTATTTAATTTTACTCATTTAATTTACTCATAAATACTCAAAGTATTACACCTAATTTTATTTTTATTTGATTTAGCTTTTTATTTTATTTTTTGTAAAATTGATATTTTGTGAAGAAAGGCAGTGTTTTCTTTGATTTGGCTTGGTTTGACTTTATTTTACTTTAAGTATAAACAAGTAAAATAAATAAAATAGGTAAAATTATAATTTGTTTGATCTTTTATTTGATGTGACTTGATTTTATTATTGTATTTTATTTTTGTAAAATGTTGTATATCTTATGACAATGGAGTATGTTTTATTTTTTTCTCTTTACTAATTTTATTTTACTTTAAGTAAAAACAAGTAAATGAAATAAGAAACACACACACACACATATACATATATATATACATTTTATTTTATTTTTGTAAAATGTAGTACATTTTTTATTATTTTATTTGGCTTGATCTTTAAAATAATTTTATTTTACTTCTTTTTAATAATTTTACCTATTTGTATTTTGTGTGTGTGTGTGTGTGTTTGTGTGTTCTGAGATTGTGTGATGACATATCTGTCTGTGTTTGGTCCAACAGATCTGGAGTGTGCGGATGTCCCCTTATTGACTCCAGGAAGTAAAGAAATGATGTCACAGGCTCTTTTGGCCACATTCAGCGGCTTCACCAGGGAGCAACAGCGACTCTCCATCCCAAAAGGTTCAATTCTACAGCACTTACATCTAAATAAAAACTCTCTCTAATAACTTTCTAGAATACATCTTATATCCATATTTCTGTCGCTCTCTCTCTTTAAGGGAATGTTCCTGGCTCAGTATTCTGTAGCACTAGGCTGTTTTTGAAATGCCACAATCAGATTGCCTAAAAAGAGATAGGCACATGGCACTCTGAAGCAGCAGAGGTTATGAATTATGTTTCCCAAACTATGACAGTCTGGAGAGGCTGAAGTCTGTGTCAGGTCTGCGTCTGTCTGGAAATAGCTGTTGTGAAGCATGTGCACAGCCGAGAGAGAGAGAGAGAGAGAGCGAGAGAGATGTTGAGTTGAGTTGGTGTCTAGGTAGGCTAAAATTACAGCTGTTTCAGTTCCTCTCATTATGGCATCAAATTTATAGCGAAATCAGCTGATAATCTCACATGAGCCACTGGACCTGTGACTAAAATATTACATGCATCAGCACTACAAGTACACCGTATTAGTTTCTTTAGTGTTTATCGGCAAGAGCATGCTTACTTAAACATTTTTGTAGTTGATTATGAAACAAAAACATACTGTATGTTTTTTAACTTCTTTAATATGATGTAATCTGCACAATATATGTCATACTGTGTATAAAATACAAATTGCATATGCATGTAACACTGAGATGAGACGCGTGCATGTCCCTTTCTCTTCTCTAGACCCCCGTCAGTGGACAGAGGCCCACGTTAGAGAATGGTTGACCTGGACAGTAAATGAGTTCAGTCTGAAGAATGTGGACTTCCATAAGTTCAGTTTGGATGGAGCCAATCTCTGTGCGCTGGGCAAAGAGCGATTCCTGGATCTGGCACCAGACTTTGTGGGCGACATCCTCTGGGAGCATTTAGAGATGCTGCAGAAAGGTAGACATCCTCACAGCCTCATGAAAGATGCCAGTCTTCAATCAGTGTTATTTTACTAGCATTGAGATACTGTAATAGTTTTTCTTAATTTTTTTCAAATAATATATTTTTTTTCTGTTTTCATTTTAGAGATTTTTTTTTGTCATTCTGTTGTTTTTGTCTTTTTTATTATTAAAAAATATGTATATTTTTTTAAGTTTTCGTTATTTTAGTACTTAAACTAAACAAAAATGAGAAATGTTGCGTTGCCAAGTAGCTAAAATAAAATAATTTTTAGAATATTTTAGTTCAGTTAATATATATTTTAGTTAAATTTTTTAATGTTTTAGTTCACTGCAATAACCCTGTCTTCAGTAAAAAAAATTTAATGACTGTAGTCTGAATGTTAATAAATATTACATTAAATCAAAATTAGAAACTTGCATTAAATCACAAAATGCATTAATATTGTTATATGTGCAAATGAGCAACTGATTTGTGATAAATACTCCAACTTAGAAACATGACACATTAATATATAATTTGACAGATGTATTGTAGAGTCACAGATGTGTGTACTTTATATCCAAAACTCTGAATGCAGCTCATCCCATCATAATTTGAGCTGTAATGTTATTTATATAATTACTTTTACAAAAGAGTACGATACAGTAGGGTAAATCATCTTTAGCAGATTCTATAATCTATGCTGTGATTTGTCATGTCAAATGCTGGAAGCATGCAAGAGGTTTCACATTTCAAAAGTCTGTAAAGTTAATTCCACTCTGACATGCATTTCAAAGCAGTTTCTGTTGCACAATCTAATCTGTTATCCACCACGTTCAGCTTTGAAAGTGTGCATAGGTTCAGTGATGTGTGTCAATTTCTTCACACAGAAGACCCGAAGCATTTCCCTGTCAGCAGTCTGACTTCCAGTTTCCAGGAATCCCGCTACCCCTCAGACTACTACTTCAGTGAGTATCTGCCCTTTGTTTCAGTTCTAATAATAATATATTTCAATTGTATTTATTTAGTTAGTTCTGCCCACTATAGTTCATTAATCAAAATTAGAAACTTGCATTAAATCACAAAATGCATTAATATTATTATATGTGCAAATGAGCAACTGATTTGTGATAAATACTCCAACTTAGAAACATGACACATTAATATATAATTTGACAGATGTATTGTAGAGTCACAGATGTGAGTACTGTATATCCAAAACTCTGAATGCAGCTCATCCCATCATAATTTGAGCTGTAATGTTATTTATATAATGACTTTTACAAAAGAGTACGATACAGTAGGGTAAATCATCTTTAGCAGATTCTATAATCTATGCTGTGATTTGTCATGTCAAATGCTGGAAGCATGCAAGAGGTTTCACATTTCAAAAGTCTGTAAAGTTAATTCCACTCTGACATGCATTTCAAAGCAGTTTCTGTTGCACAATCTAATCTATTATCCACCACGTTCAGCTTTGAAAGTATGCATAGGTTCAGTGATGTGTGTCAATTTCTTCACACAGAAGATCCGAAGCATTTCCCTGTCAGCAGTCTGACTTCCAGTTTCCAGGAATCCCGCTACCCCTCAGACTACTTCTTCAGTGAGTATCTGCCCTTTGTTTCAGTTGTTGAGTTATTATTAAATCTGAATCCATTTTAATTTCGTTGTGTGTTTTTGTCATTGTAGTAGTTTTTGCGTATATATATATATATATGTATGTGTGTGTATGTGTGTCTATATAGATTTTTTTTTTCAGTTTTAGTCATTTCATACTCTCTTTTCCATACAACATGAATCAGGTCAAAACACTGTCTGTTTGAATATGTGGAATGAAAAATGACTGTGGATGATATTTAATAACAATGAAATCTCCATCGCAGGTAAGCTGGGAGGTCAAGATTCGTTTGAGAGCATTGACAGTTTCGAGAGCTGCGACAGGCTGACGCAGTCCTGGAGTAGTCAGTCGTCATTCAACAGCCTACAGAGAGTTCCCTCCTACGACAGCTTCGATTCGGAGGACTATCCCACCGCACTGCACGGACACAAACCAAAGGGTACCTTCAAAGACTACGTACGGGAGCGCTCGGAACTCAGCAAAGACAAACCGGTCATCCCGGCGGCTGCGCTCGCTGGCTACACAGGTCAGCATTACCCCAGATTCAATCATTCACCGCTCGTGAATGACTGAAAAAAACCTACTCGCATGCATTAAACCCCAAATGAGTCAGAATTCAAATAAGCACAAGACAGAAGCCAGAGCCTTGAGACATAGCCTAGTTTCACAGTCATACACAAGGCCAACAGGGACAATAACAACAACTTTACTGAAAATAATTATTTTATACTAGATTTTGAGCATGGTACAATGCGATTATCTTTGTTTTTTAGACATGTTGTACTTTTTTTTTTGGACATGGTATTCTTTGAAGTATGACTTATGAGATAATTGGAAAAAAATACCATGGAATTTTTTTTTATGCCATATTATTACCATGGTGTTCATGAGGTACCATATAAATATGATATCACATACCAAATCATAGATCCTTTATAATATGATATACTATATCTTAAACATGCCATGTTATTCTATATATCATAAATCATATTACATTGTATGTCATATATGCTGTATATCATATCATATCAACAACCATATGATGTTATTTTACGCATCACATCATAAATCATGTCATATTAAATTCCATATCCATGCTACTTTCCCATGCTATTTGCCATATCATATCAAAAACCATGTTATTCCACATATGATCTCATAGATTATATTACATATCATATTGCATACCATATCATATTAAAAGCCATGTTATTCTATATATCATAATAAATAATATTATATATCATATTGCATACCATATCATATTAAAAACCATAATATCAGAAATCATATTATATATCAAGAAGCATGTGTTATTCCATATATCATATTTAAAATAATATTGCATGCTATTTTATATACTTTATATCATATTAAAAAAAAAACATTCAATACATTTCTCAATAATAAGTCATGCTATATATCTAATTGCCTACCATATCATATCAAAAAGCATATGATATGCTATTCCTTATATCATAAATCATATTTATACATCACATTGCATACCATACGGTATATTCCATATATCAAAAACCATATGATGTTACTTCATATATCATATATCACATTGCAACATATCAGATGTTAGTCCATACATCGTATATAAATGATATCATATGTCATATCATATACATACAGCAGCAAATGAAATGAAATATCTATGATGATCGGCAAGCGTTTGGAATCACACGTTTATGCATGTGTCCTGCTAAACGAGGCGCCTCGTCTCGTGTTACTGGGACAAGGATCGGTGAAAACGAGTCGTGCACCAGTTTTGAATGCACTTGTGCACTTCGAAACCGCAGAGCCACATTTGTTACACGACTGTAAGAATGTCATGGCAGTCTTTTTGTGAGCATGACTGCAGCGGCGGCTTGTGCGAGCGGCTCGTGTACCAGCAAACATGCCACACCCCGGCCTCTTCGCATGAAAACACAGGCAGACGCTCGTTCGTTCCCTCACGCTCCCTCCCTGTCTCTTTCTCGTCGCTTTTGTCACTGCCACCAGCTCTCCGTTTCTTTCTCTGCTGTTTTCATCTTGTACTCCTTATCTGCGGCCCACATCTCAACCCATTTCCCAGGTCGTCTTGGCAACAGAGGGTGCAGCACAAAGTGATAGCAGTCCTGTGCACTTAAGATGAGAGCTCCTTTATCGTCCCATCTTCGAGGGGCTTTTTTAACCTTGTGCCATACGTCTCAAACCAACCTCCTCATATATCTGAAAATGCAACAGAAGAGCACTTCCCAACAGAACGAGCACACGGGTCCCACTCACTATGTGTGGCTCATTTCATTTCTATTTTTGGAAGCTAAGGTTTCTTTGAGCATATAAAGGACCGTTTTGCCTGTACCTGAGTTGTCTGTCATCTGGAATTCTCCATACTAGAGAATCCTATAGCTCAAAAAACGAGACATGATAGCCATATTTCATGTAAGATACTGTAAAATGTGTTTTTTCTGTGTTTGTGCACTTGCAAAAAGGCATTTCTATAATGGACAGAACTACCTGTTTTTTTACGAGTGTTACCGTAGTGTCAACACAACAGCCTTCAGAGTTCAGAGATGAGGTAGATAAAGCCAGCAAGCGACAAAAAAGATCTATTTGCTCACAGAGCTCTGAGGTTTTCATGTTTGTCATCATTAATCACATACGCACGTACAAATCCATCAGATCTGTGAGGAGAGCAGCACAACCACAGCACCGCAACACACTTTCTTCAGCGACGGCTGATTTTTAACTTTATAGGGCAGCTTTCTTATAAAGACGCACGCACACATTAAAGGGAAAGTTCACCCATAAAAATAAAACTCTGTCATCATTTACTCGTAGACCACAAGAGGACGTTTAGAAGAATGTTCACGCTGCTTTTTTTCCATACAAGCTCCAAAAATGTCAAATATGCACCACAGAAGTGGCATAAAAGTTGTTAATATCACTATGTATGACTTCTTCTGAAACAATATGATAACTGTCTGATTTAGAAAAAAAAGGGTAAATAAAATTAGGCATCACTGACAACTACTTTGGTAGCACTTTACAATAATGTCCCATTAATGCCTTACAGTTGTTAATATCACTATGTATGACTTCTTCTGAAACAATATGATAACTGTCTGATTTAGAAAAAAAAAGGGTAAATGAAATTAGGCATCACTGACAACTACTTTGGTAGCACTTTACAATAATGTCCCATTAATGCATTAACTAACAATGACAATATTTATATAATTGATTAATCTTTGTTAAATGTTAGTTAATAAAAATACAACTGTTCATTGTTAGTTCATGTCAGCTCAGGTTCATTAAGTAATAACTTTTGATTTTAATAATGCATTAGATGTCAGAATTAATATGAACTAAGATTAATAAATACTTTAAAAGTGTTTGTCATTGTTAGTTCATGTTAACAAATGGGACCTTATTGTAAAGTGTTACCATTACTTTTTTGGATATTGGTCACCATTCACTTTCATTGTATGGAAAAGTGCAGCGTGAACATTCTGCTAAACATCTTATTTTGTGTTTTATGGAAGAAAGAAAGTCATACAGACCTGGAATGACATGAGGGTGAGTAAAAATATAATATTTATTTTAGGGTTAACTATCCTTTTAAGTTCAGTGCTACAAATCCAAGTTGTTTTCAGAAATCCTTGTCTTTGCTTGTGTGATATGTTGTAATCATGCACTTACTTCAAGTAAAGTGGCCTTAATGTACTTTTAAAGCTTTGCTGAAAGTCCACGGTGGATTTGTCTGTCAGTCTGAGGGTTTGGTTCAGGCGTTCCCGGCCTGTTTGGGTGTAATGAGGGTGTGTTACAGTAGCCGAGCTTATGGAATGTGTTTTAATGCATTTACCTACATAAACAGATTTCTACATTGATCCAGATGAGTGATTTTAGTGATTCATATGTTTATATGGAGACAAAGAGAGGCAGACAGACAGAGAGAGAGAGAGAGGGTTACAATGAACTGTTGAATTGTTGATGAGATAATCTGTTTCAGAATTGCATTAGTGTTTTATTGCATTATCGGTAAGGATATTTTTAGCTGGATGTAACACGCAGTGGGGAATTCATTGTGCCTGCTATTATTGCCATTTATTTTGCATGTGCATTGCTTTCCCACCCAATTCACCAAAGGAATAATGCAGATTAAGTAACTGAACAAGCACACAGCACACAGTCTATGCTGAAAGTAATAATGTCACATTAATAATGTGTCTTCTTTCTTCTAAATAATGTGCTCTTCTAAAATAAGGGTTAATAATAGGGTTGCACCAGTATTAAAATTCTGCCCGATTACACTATTTATTTATTTAGTTAGTTATTTTGCTGACAATGCTGATAAATGATTGAAAAATAAAATAATTTGAAATGCCTATATTATTATTTTTTTAATTTTTTTGCTGATAACCAATAAATTAACAGGATTAAATTTATACATGCTACTTTGTTTAAATAAATAATAAAATCATTTAAAATGTGAATTATTGAATTTAGGCATCACAACATTAAATTATACAGAATGAACATTTATTTATTTTTGATTTGATTTATATTGATTTTGCTTTGAAATGATGTCAAAGGTAATCTAAATGTAAAAACGGGAAAAGAGCATGTACAATTAATAAATGTAAAAATCTTTAATATTGCCAATTGATAATCAATACGGTACCTATATATTGTGCATCACTAGACTTTCAGGACTTTTGCAGGGAATTAGAGAGTCTCTCTCTTCTCTTGGCTCTTGTTTTGCAGCAGGTGTGATATTAAATGACGGTTCATTTTAATGCACACAAACCACACGATGAAGAAAAAGCAAAGCTTATCTAGACGGGTGCACGAGCTGCTCTGCTGCTGCCTACACGCTATGAAGCCCTTGCAGGATAGCTCTCGCGCTGTAGGTCAACACGACCACATAAACCCTTCAAGCTAGTCCTCAAATTTCTTCTCACAATCAAATGCATTAAGATGCACGTTTGCAATTTTTCAAATGTCTCCTTAAATATGTCACCGTGCAGAAAGGCTAAAGTCTTTAACCCTGGCACAGTTAAGGGCAAATGCAATATTGAAGCCTGTGAGAAAAGCCTCTCGTTTTGCAGATGGCCACCAAGGGCTTCTCTCTCTCACACCCACACAGTCTTTCACACACGTGTCAACATCACACACATGTGTGCTTTCAGATACACCCGGGCGACATGCAGACATATACATCATGGCCTGCGTGATCAAACACATTTATCCACCAGATATTTAACCTTGGGGCAAAATCCAAATGATGTCAGTGCTTTGGAATTCACATAAAGAGTCCAAAGCCCAAGTAGGACATGCAGTCTGAGCAGTAGCCAGTCAATACTCCATTGTGTCTCAGCCATCTCTGTTTTCAAGCAGAGTGACATAAAGCTAATGGCATGTGAAACTCAGTTTGGACCGGGATACCAATACTAACTTAATGCACTAATACAGTAGGAAATCTAGAACCGAGAAGTCTAGAATGGAAATAGCATGCTACTTTGATATGTCATGCATGTAGGTGGTATTGAGATTTTGGTTAACCCTAACCCTCCATAGGACTGTAGTAAGTCATGGTGTTGCTTATCTGTTCAGGCAGCGGACCCATCCAACTCTGGCAGTTTCTGTTGGAGCTCTTGACAGACAAATCCTGCCAGTCCTTCATCAGCTGGACTGGAGACGGCTGGGAGTTCAAGCTTTCTGACCCTGATGAGGTGAGCGGTTATACAATCTACGTACCATCATTGTAGTTGGGGAGGGTTAGACTCCCAAAAAATAAAGATTTTTTTTTCTCTGATAAAGAAATTCTTTATCAGAAAAAAAAACTTGTGTGTGTGGGATTTAATTAATTTCTATATTTCTTTAAAGACAAGATTTGTATTATAGTTCATAAATATATTTATTTATTTATTTATAGTTCATATAGTATCAGAGTTATTATAGTTAAATAAAACTATAAATACAATTACATTTGAATAAAATTAAAGTTAACTGAAATAAAATAATTTTTTACATTTTGTTTTATTTCAGCTAGTTGCGAAGGCATTATTTCGTATTCTCACTTAGTTTAACTTGATGCACTAAAATAACTAAAACTAAAACTGAAATAAAAATAAAATATTATATAGACATTTTAAAAAAAAGTCTTTTCTCTGATAAAGAAATTCTTTATCAGAAAAAAAAACTTGTGTGTGTGGGATTTAATTAATTTCTATATTTCTTTAAAGACAAGATTTGTATTATAGTTCATATATATATTTATTTATAGTTCATATAGTATCAGAGTTATTATAGTTAAATAAAACTATAAATACAATTACATTTGAATAAAATTAAAGTTAACTGAAATAAAATACTTTTTTACATTTTTGTTTTATTTCAGCTAGTTGCGAAGGCATTATTTCGTATTCTCACTTAGTTTAACTTGATGCACTAAAATAACTAAAACGAAAACTGAAATAAAAATAAAATATTATATAGACATTTAAAAAAAAAGTCAAAAAAATGACAAAAACACCACAAAGTGTCTAAAATATTTAACTAAAATGAAAATGGAAAATATAAAAATAAAATCCAATTCAAAATATTATTAAAAACTATAATATCTCAGTGATGCTATAATAACACTGGCATTACGGCAATAACTAGCTATATCTTTAAAATGCATTGACATACTAAATAAATATGTGTTTATTTATTATTATTATAATAAATATATAAATTATTTATTTATTTATACAGCTGATACGATAACAAGAACAGACAATAAAGTTTTTTTATAAGATAAAGTCTTATATTATGAAAGTACAGAGCCAATTTGAATCAGTATTGGTAAAAAGTAGAAATAAAACTATTATTAGAAAAAAAAATGAGTTATATGCATTGTAAATGAGTTACATGTATTGTATATGTATACTAGTTGGGTAAATTCAAATATTAAATAATGAGTGTGTTGCTGGCTGCTGTTCATCACACGCCAACCACACAGTGCCATTTATCGTTTGAAAACCAATAATCTCTAGTAGTATCTGATACAATCACTACATCGGTCCCACCGATGCAAGTAAGAGAGCAGCATGGTTGCACACACAAATGAATCTCATGAACAGCCGGATATTTAGCGAATGACTATTTGTGTGTTTTCATGATCCTGACCCGTGTCTCCCTGACCTCTAGGTGGCACGCAGATGGGGCAAGAGGAAAAACAAGCCCAAGATGAACTACGAGAAGTTGAGTCGCGGTCTGCGCTACTACTACGACAAAAACATCATCCACAAGACGTCCGGCAAGCGCTACGTCTACCGCTTTGTGTGTGACTTGAAAAGCCTGCTGGGATACACTCCCGAAGAGCTCCACACCATGTTAGACGTCAAGCCCGACTCGGATGAGTAAACTTCGGACAAAAGTTTGGAAAAAAAAAGGTCCCCTCACAGACCCTGGAAAGAAAACGGGGCGTCCATTTTCGGGTCCAATCACATTCCATCTTAACACTTAGTCGTGGTCCAGTCTTGTGTTGAGCTCACAGGGGACGGAAAAAAAAGAAGCATCGGAACATTAACCAAAGTTTAGAATCCGTAGACTTTGCGCGTCTGTATTGTTTATAGCTCTGCAGGAAGGGAAAACTCTAAGTTCTGTTTTGACCCAGTAGCACAAACACCAGGAAGGAACAGAGGACAATTAGATGGACATTTCTTGGACTGAACGCTCCTGTTATTAAACACGTTGCCAAAATTAGAGACGAGAGGAATATCGCGGAAATATTTACGATTGAGTTACTTACTGTTTCTGTCTCCTCGCATACACAACCACGAGGAAGTGTTCTCAGCCGGACCAAATTAACAAAAGTTTTTTATTTGTTTTGATAGTTTCTTAAAGATCTATGTGTGTCAGAATTAATTTGTCGTATTGCGATGCTGTCCGGACAGAGATTGCACCATTTTGTACATTTCCATATGAAGGTTTATTGAAGTCAAATTGTGCTTAGATAGTCTCTCTCCGCTTCTTTTAAGGTCACGGTCGGTTACGGCTTGTTCTTACCACAGTGTCCATAGCTGAAAACGCAGTTTTTGATCACCAGATCAAAATAGATACCAGAATACCGCCCTTTTCAGTTGAAAGAGACGTACCTCAGTCAAACTGAGAGTGTGAGTGAGAGACGCAAATGAAAGCGGCCGTTGGCTTCTCAACGGTGACACGCTTGTGGTGAAAACGAGGTGTCGTTTTATCACTTGTATTGAGACAAAAGACATCAAACATTTCTTGCCTCGGTTTCTTTGTACGTGAATGGTTTTTGCCAAAGCTTTGCCTTAATATAGCACATTGCGTTTATGAACTTACCGTGTTTTCTCAAGGTTGACTGAAACGTGTAGGTTGGTGACAACTGAAATGTCACTTAACCGGGCCTCAAACGGTTCGCTGGCAGCGCTAGAAGCCATAAAGCCGAGACGTTTGAGAAGAGCGATGTGAGGCCTTTTGACTTTGAGACAGACGTGGCGGCGTTAGCCATGTTGAAAAGTGCACACTTCAGCATGCATCTGGATTGGCAAAGTATGTGAGATGGATTCTGCAGCAGAAACCAAGGATCTGTCGGGCTGCGTTTGATTTTCCTGATGGTTTGTGAAAGTGTTACTGTTAGTGGCTGATATAATGTTAAGATTGGAGGAAGACCAGATCCTGCTGAGACTTAGGGCAGCTTTAAAGATGATGATGTGTGCTGCTACTGGCTAACAAGCGTCACAAGATCATAACCGAAAATGGGAGTACGTTTCAGAATGGTTTGTTTAAATGCAGTATTATGGACTATTTTAGTCATTGCAGGGTGTAACTTAAGCCAGTGTTATATTACAGTGTCCATGAAATGAATAACGTACTTTAAATTGAACTATTTGCAGAAACTGCACATGAAATGTCAAATCTGTTACCGGTATTTTCAATACTTTACAGGTTAAAAAACCGAATGGCAGCAACATTCAGTTTGTGTTTTCTTCAGCACAGCATTTCAGTCTGTGGGAAGGGTCTCGTACACGAGACCTTGTGGGAAAAGCCAAAGTAAAGAACGTTCATCTAGGAAGACAAATCGTATTGTTTACAGTGGCAGAACGCTACCCATCCTGATTGGTGTAGCTTTGGAATTGTATATTTTTACAGATAACATTTCATAAAATGGCTAGATTAAACCATAAACTGGGAACACATTCATGAGAGCTCAGAATAAAAGTATTTAATTCAGAGATGAGCGGGTTTCAGTCGCAACCGTCCTGCCGTGAACAACAACAAAAGTGCTACATCACCTGAACAATCAGTTTATAGTGTTAAAAAGTCTCTTTGGAATAACAAGAAGAAAGCGCGAGTTTGTTAAAGCCACAAAAGATAGCCAGCATAACTTTTTTTATTATTATTATTTGGCAAGGTCCAAATCATCATGCAGTCTTTGCCTTGATTATAAAAGTGGTGCATTTTGTGTGAAAATGAACACTTTTGACAGATACATACATGCATATTCATATTGACGAGTGTTGTTTTTATTTCCCCACAATTTTGCCTTATTTTGTATATTTTATATTTCTGTTAAAATGAGAAATTTAATGTATTTAGTTCACAGACATTTTGATATTTTTCAATAATTTATATTTTATAAACTTTGAAATATGAGATCCAGACAGCTGGTGCTTTCGTGGGGGAATAAGGTAGCGCAGGACAAAATGTAGCTAATTTTCTTTTATATGAAAAAAAAAAGGGAAAAAAAGTCAAATTTAAGGAATTTAAATACCTGTCTGCTTATACAGTTCTGTATAGATAAGGCTGATGCTGGCCCATCATTATGTTCCGCTGGAGAGTTTTATAAACAGTAGCTTCTATTTCTTACTGTTCTTTAAATGGTTATGTTATTAAAATATATGTGGAGAAAATGATTCATGTGTGTCTTTGTTATTTCAAAATTAATCTTACGGCAATAATTCTGAATCAAAGTAGCATGAAGGAAGACACACCCAACCCAACGCTCGCAGAAACACAGGTATGAAGTTGCAAACGCATGCAACTGTCACCTTGCTCTCTCTGTGCAGCTCTGCAGGCTTTGCGGCAGATTTGTGGTTTTGTTTATTATGAGTCTTGGTTAAATGAGCAGCTCGTTTCTGTCAATGCTAATCATCATAAATACCACAGCTGCAGTTTTTCATCGAGCAAAAGATTCTCACACTTAAGATTAGCGTGGTGCCTTTGGCCGTCATATGTCGGGGCTTTACATGCACAACGGGCTGTTCTGAGGAAGGGGACGGGAATATGTAGTGCAGTGACGACCCTTAATAAAGGCCCCTGACATAAGAATTAAAATGGACACACTGAGTCCATTCATGAAACCTCACAGTACAATACATTACAAATGGCAAGAGCTGTCTCTTCTTTTTATGACTGTCTGTCCTCTCTGTCAAGATCCAAAGGTGCTTTCTTGACTATACAGATATGGGTTTATACTGCCAAAGCATACAAATACCATACGTACAGTGGGGTCCAAAAGTCTGAGGCTACACACTCAGAATAAAAGGTACAAAAGCTGTCACTTTCAAAAGGTACTAATAAATACGTTTTAAGCTTTAAGGTATTGATGTGTATCATTTAGGGGTAAATAAAGTACAAAGATGTACCTTTTAGCTTTTGGACCTTAGAGTACTGCCACAGTGATAGCTTTTTTTTTAATGTGTGAGTCAAAATCTAATTTAAACCCAGAATAAACTGAGTTTTATGATATTAACCAATGTAAAACAAAATAAATGTTTAAATGTTCAAAAACATAAAATGAAGGAATATTTATAGGTCGCTAATCAAATAAGTATATTTGTGCATATCATGTCACTGCTTCATACATATGTTCAGCTGTTCTTGCTTCCATTGCTTACTAAAAAGAAAGAGATAAAAACCAAATACTAAGACATTTTGAAATGCAAGTTAATGTTTTAATTATGCGGTTTATAAGCATCTTTTGCATATATGTGAGTAGGTTATGGATATGCATTGCAATAGCATTTTTATGCACATATAGATTATTGGTAATCTGGTGTTTTCTTCACACAGGTCGCTGCTATTATTATAAGCTTTAGAAATTTCTACATGTATCCCCTTTTTCTGGGAAATATTCTTACTTATCAAAGATTTGTACCTTAAGTTGTCCATGCCCGCTTTTCAAATTGTTCCGACACTGATGCATTTGAACTTGCAGGGGATTCACCAGGTATGAGTAATAGATTTCACAATTTAGCTGAAAATCTTTGTACGGGTCTCACTTCTGTGGAAAGAAAGAGTCAGTGGTTTGTGCATAATCAGAAAAGTCACTTTTTTGACCTGTGCTCTGTTATTTTGTGTGCACTATTTGCATATACTGTTGTCTTTTGGTAACTAGGTCTGGAAATGTCTGTGTTCTGAGTCGATAAATAGTGTTAGTCGGTCGCGGTGGTCAGATATTGTCAATCAGCATTTTCTATTTAGACACATATCATATTCCAGTATGCTCTGTGTCGATGCAGTTTCTGTCTTTTACATTTGCACACAGGACATCCAAAACATTCTGTCCAATTCAATGGGGAGTTGGGGAGACCAAAATACTTGGTCTCATATATATATATATATGCAATATGTTGATTATGAATATATTTCAATTCATGAGGCTCTAGGTAACGTTGGTCTGAGTGAGATCAACGAAGCATTAGCAGTGTATCACTTCTCAAGGCAAAACACTGCAGGTGAATAGGGTCAACATGTTAACTAATAGATAACTAATTATGCATTCATTCTCAAAATAGAAATCTAAAAACCTAAAGCAAGTTTCAAAATTCTTGTTTCATTTTGTTGACATATTAAATGTTTTTACAGATGGGATTCAACATATTGACGTTTTTAACATATTGAGAGAAGTTATGGAAGCAAAATAGCTTAAAATTGACCGGTGCATGAATGATTTTGGCTTAAACGTTTAATTCCCCTAATGTCCACAACGGACTACACACAAGCACACGATGTTCAAGGTCTGTGTGTTCTAGACATCATTCAGCACTAGTACATTCACTTTTGCAGGTGGTTCCTCTCTTGCCTTCACCTTTGTCTGCTTTAGATCCGCATGTCATCACACGCTTCACCCATACACACACACTAGTGCACTTTACCTCATCACTTGTTTATAAAGAATCTGATCTTGCTAAAAATAATGCATTTAATGGGTACATTCAATATGCATAGATTTATAAATAAAACATGAATTCGATTTCTGTGAGTTTGTTTGGGAGTCATATCAATTTTGTTTTTGCACTATGCAGTTGAAAAATGCTGAAAATGGTTGTCAGGTTACACAAACACGGTGTATCTGTGGGTTTGAATGCACCTACAGTTGGGGATTTCAAAAGGGTAATTTTCATATCTGACTGAGGTAATTTTCCATTACGGTTGAGTGAAGAAGAAAAAAAAAAACGAAAGAAAGGCAGAGAAAGAAAGAAAAAAAACTCTTTGCAATTGCAAAAGTGTCATAAGTGGTGAAGTTAGGTGATGTCCTATGCCTGCAGGCTGTTGAAGAATCTCTATCTCTCTAGTATGCGCACACACACACACACACACACACACACACACACACACACACACACACACAGAGAGAGAGCTTCAAGCGTCCTATGTAGAAGATGTGTGTGGAGTCTGAGCACAAATATTTATGCTAAAGTCTATGGCTGGCCTCAGCTGTCTCCTGCATCTTACTACCACCAGAGCACAAGCAGACAAATGCCCCAAAAACTCAAAATCAAAGTGAGTGAATTTCTGCGGCATCAGCAGTAAACAGAATTGCAAGTATAATGACTATTTTTAAAGTTTCAACTCGGAGTAGTGCGTGCACATAACTAGAAACATAACTAGTTATACAAACATAAACATATAAACATAACAGGTATCCACAAATAATCCAAATTAAAAGAATCATAATAATAATAATAAAAAAACACACAATTTCAAACGTAATATATTAAAAGAATAGTTCACCCAAAAATGATTACATTTTTTTCTGAGAAATTATTCACTATCAGGACATCCAAGATGTAGATGAGTTTGTTTCTTTATTGGAACAGATTTGGAGATATGTAGCATTACATCACTGTGTCAGCAATGGATGCTCTGCAGTGAATGGGTGCCGTCAGAATGAGAGTCCAAACAGTTGATTAAAACCTCACAATAATCCACACCACTCCAGACCATCAATCAACATCTTGTCAATTGAAAAGCTGCGTGTTTTGAAAAAAAAAAA